TAATAACCTTATATTATTATTATTATTATTATTATTATTATTATTAGGGACTATATTATGTAAAATATTTGATGGTCAGAAATTGTGTGAATTACAAAGATACATACTTATTATGTATTCAATATGTACAGTATCTTGTATCCAAATGTTGCCAATTTTCCAATTTGATTATCTGTTATTGAATTTCATTTGGCAATGCAATCAAACTATTTCAACGCTTCTGGCTTGAATGATTCAAAAAAATGAAACAATATGAATATTCATATATTTACTATATTAATTCTTGCATCATTCTCCAGTAATATTCCATAACGAGGCCAGGAACGACGTTAAAAGATCTTACAATATTATTTGACAGAGACCATCATTCAAAAATCAAATAAACTGTTGTTGCTATAGTTATATTTTAATGTTTATTCCAATTTTGCTTTCAGCTTTGGATACTTCCAATGTGTTGATTAAAAAGATGGTATTTGAGTTATTATCTGCGGTGGCGCTCTATTCACAGGATGGTCTACAGTTGGCTATGGATGCATTGCAGTTCTATAAGGTATATACTATAATTTGTATATTAATTGGATTCTTCTATTAGCTACACCCCTTTATTGGTTGGACCCCCATCTATAAGTTAGACATCCCTCTATTTATAGTTAAACACCCCCTCTATAATCTTGGACCTCCTCTCTTAGTTGCACTCTTCTAGTAATTGGAACCCCTGCTTTTTGCTAATATAATTTCTTATTTTTCTCTACCTTGATATTCTTTCTTTAATAAAACTTATTGTTTATGGTCTAGTTAGGACAAGATTGCGATAATTTAGCTGAATGTGCTTCTAAAATGGGAACAAAGCCAACCTAGTACAATACTGTATAATGTTTACATTATGCAAGGTTTGCTTTGGAACCCTAATCCAATATTGCCGATTGGTGGCCATTGCTCAAAACCATGTTTGTGAAAACACTGCTTGTATGTCAGCAGATTCTAAATGTGACAGTCAATTGGCTTTGTGATTAACAAGCTTTACTGGACATATTGAATGGGCAACCTTGCCAAGTTTAATATAGTCCAAATAAACTTTGTCAAATCAACCATGCTAAAACTCTTTTGTTAAATTATTAGATTCACACTACATTTAGCTTTCATCGAGGCATGAGCCTAGGTCACATAGGCACCTACAAAATTTGATTTCATATTAACAAAACCATTTTACAAAAGGTTCCATATATATACTCTACCGGTAGTATTTGTTTTTAACAAACAGAATAACAACCGAGCCTTACATATTTTGTAATTGGATTTGAGTGAAAATTAACCAGTTTTGTTTAAAGTCAACTTCTGGTTTTTGCCGCCATGAATTTTCAATTCAATGTCTTCCTTATCGACAACATTTCACAGAAGTCGATGTGACCCTGTCTTGTCTTTAGGATCCCACGACATATCAACTACAACATTTTGTGATTTCCTTGACGTGCAAAATTCACTAAAATTGGGCTCGCCTGAAATTGAATTGATTTATAGATCTGCAGTGAGCATATACTCAAACAGTTCAAAGTGTATAAGTGAATATTATTTTCAGAAATTGTTGATTCAATGGGGAGTTTGAATAAAACTCAGTTTTCATACAATTATACCTCTGTGAATGCAAAATTATTCACCAGGTTTTAATATTGCTATTTTTACTGATAAGTAAAATCTGCTGATAAAATGAAATTCATGTGAACATGTAAAATATTAATAGTCAGAATAATATTTTTATTTCCCTGACAAATTTGTAATGCCAGCTAATGTTTGGCAAGCACATGTAGAAGAATGTAGTACTTCTGCGTATCTGCAGAATAAGCCATGTGTGACTATTTAGTTGAAATAACACAATGCTGTAATGTAGTAGCTACATTGTATACCACAGTATTTATCTGGAATTTCAAATCCCCAGTGTATGCATTCAAGCTATCATGATTAATTAGACAGCAACAAAGTACCGTAAAATCTGTATTACTGTAAAATCTGCTTCTATTAAAATGGTACAATGCAACCAAGGGAATGCGGCTTCTATTAGAGCATCTACACATATGAGAAATGATGGTTTTTTGGTTCTCAATTATTCAAAAAGAATGGG